GGCAAGCTATCAGAGGAGTACAGGGCAAGCTATCAGAGGAGTACAGGGCAAGCTATCAGAGGAGTACAGGGCAAGCTATCAGAGGAGTACAGGGCAAGCTATCAGAGGAGTACAGGGCAAGCTATCAGAGGAGTACAGGGCAAGCTATCAGAGGAGTACACGGCAAGGTATCAGAGGAGTGTACATGGCAAGGTATCAGAGGAGTACACGGCAAGGTTACATTTATTTATTGGTTGAATGACACAATATTTGACTGTAGTTCCTCTTTGTAACACACAGCAGATCACCGGGGCAAAGCTCTCTCCTTTTTTATTTGTGTAACACAGATGACTATCGCGAAATATTTACATCATTTTATGAAGTTGTTTTCACAAATGAAGTATGAGCCTTCATCACTGCTCCGGCCTGGTACTCTGTGTGTGTGTGTATAGACGTCAGAACATGCAAATATGTAACATCGGCCTCCTGAATACAGACAGTCATATCCAGGACATCTGCTTAAACAAATTTCACACACGGGAAGCATGCTCTGTATTTGTAGAGATCAGGTTGTTGTATACCTGGGGTATGAAACGACTGCTTGTTCTGTTCTATAGCAGCCGTGAGCTGCCTTTTAAACTACATGATTTAGCTTGTACTGCTACAGGCTGGCAAGGCATACAGGAGTTTCTAGTTCTGTTGTAACAGGTTGAAAAATATTGTAGGTGACTAGTGATCTCTGTTTACTTAAAGTAACAGGTCTGATTCTGCTTCAGATCAACTTGGCTACTCCCATTGGTGCTGTGTTCATGATCATATACATAACATGTATTTATAATATAATCAAAGTGGAATTTCACACTAGAATTACGTTATGAACATTAAACAGCCATGTAACACATATTCTTTGTTACACATATACCAGCCATGTAACACATATACATATACCAGCCATGTAACACATATACCTTGTAACACGTTTGAAGGCTGGCCGAAGGCTAGCCTGGATTTGTGGGAGGAGCCTGTGTCTTTAAAGACGGCACGGCTCACAGGGGATTCACGTCGGCGGGTCACGAAGGTCCCCACCCGCCCATTCCCCTTGCTTTCATTCATTCATTTAATTAATTTACATTCAGAGTATGCCCCCTTTTAGGCATACTGACCTGAGAAGGCCAAGGCACACCACAGGCCATTGGGGGGGGGGTGGCAGGGTATCACTTACTTGTTAAGGCTCGGACCACAAATATACATATATCAGCCATGTAACACATACACATGGATATACATATATATACTCTGCTTGTCCAGCTATCAGGATTGCAGACTGCCATCTATTAACAGCAGCACCATGCAACTCATGATGTTCTCAGCCCCCACCATAGTATCTATGTCTTGTGATGACAAACTCTTTAATGGCACACGCTTCCTCTGTGCCTTGATGCTGCTGTTTGACATCTGACTTCAATTAACATTTTCACTTTTGGATGTAATTAGGTTATTAACAGTATTTGTTGTTATGTTGTTTCTGCAGCTTCATGGCTACATGGAGAACAAGCCTCTGGGTCTGCAGATCTTTATCGGCACAGCTGATGAAAGGATCCTCAAACCCCACGCTTTCTACCAGGTTCACCGCATCACAGGCAAAACTGTTACCACCACCAGCTACGAGAAGATTATTGGACATACCAAAGTCCTGGAGATCCCTCTGGAGCCCAAGAGCAACATGAGAGCGACGTAAGTAGGAACAAACTGGTTTGGGGTACAGTCAGGAACAAATGCTGAGGACAGTAACATTATAGAAGGTGGTTTTACTGTAGGTGCCCTAATGAGCCTCATCACACTATTATTATTATTATTATTATACAGGATTTATATAGCGCCAGCAGTTTGTGCAGTCCTTACTATGAGAAAAAGAAGTAATGAAAATCTGTATGTATGGCCAAGGTACAGTTATGATAAGGCTCCATTCAACAATTCCACATTTTTTTCCACATATGTATGGCCAAGGTACAGTTATGATAAGGCTCCATTCAACAATTCCACATTTTCAGCAAAAAATGTGGAATTGTTCAAGAAACTTTTGGACGATTTCTTAAGGGACCGCAATATACAGGGATACAAGTACTCATAAGAATGAGATCCTAATAGGTTGGACTTGATGGACTAATGTCTTTATTCAACCTCAAATACTATGTAACTATATATACAGCGTTTGCCGTGCGGGCCAAAAAAGCTAAATTTTTTAATCCGCATGGATGCCGCTTGTTTGCGGCTATTAAATAGCCACGAAAGTGCGGAATCCGCCAGATTGTCGCGCTTCTACTATTTCTGGGCCTGCACGGTTTCGGGAATAGTCTGAACAATGCACATTAAAGTGCATTGTATTCTCTGTTTATAGCGGCCCCGCGCGTATCCATACAGCCGAATATGTGCGCACAGCTGCTCCGGTGTGAATGGAGCCTTACTATGTAAGCAGATGGGTACACACGATGCCTCCTTAGCTGATGACCTCAGTACCGCCATCCTTCCTCTTAGTTTTGTATTAGGGTTACCAAAGATTACAGTGAAGCAAATTTCTTCTCAGAAAGTGAGATCCTAGCACTGTAACTTTAATCAGGGTAAGATGGCTGCACCCCAACAATAACAATACAATACACATACAAACTCTTTTTAAATGTGTACCATTGTAAGCACCAACAGTGCCTTAATAAAATAACAGAAGCTGAGAGAAAATAGGGTCAGTGTCCCATTAACTCTTCAATGTCTGGTCCACAATGGCATGCACAGTGCTTTCAGTGTACAGTGGAGGTAATCAACATCCTATCATGAACCAATATATAAATAGTATTGCTGACAGTCACCCGCATCACGCTGTGCCAAGATGTGGGTGTATTTTCCCACATCACAATTACCTGACCATAATATCATGGCTACAGAAAGCAAAAGTGAGTGGAATTCCAGTCACTAGGATTCTGACTTAACCCCTTGCAGGAAAACTGTTTAAAGCTGAACTCCAGCCACAAACTAAGAAGGGGAAAAATAAGTCATCTCTTGTGATGCGTGATTAATGCCTCATTGTGTCCTCTTTCCTGTTCATTGATTTGCACTCGCTGGACAGAGAATGCCATTTGATTGGCTGCCACGGTCAACAGCCCTAACTGCACCATTTTTCTTTTTATCAACCCCAATATTGTTCTCTGTGGACATCATTGCATGAGTACGGCTTTTAGGTGACGGAAAGGATGGGGTTTGCATTTATTTCACTGCACCTTTTTCTCAATCATCAGAGTGTACATTACAAAATTTATTTTGGATCTTATATAAGTGGTTGATTTTTTTTCTTCAGTTTAAATGCGAAATTCACTAGTATATGGTTTTGTGTAGTAGTGGGTATTTTGCAGGAAATTGTTTTCTGTGGTGGAGTTTTGCACTTCTTATCTCGGCATCCTTCCTTGGTAGCTGACAGTTTGTATTTAATGTATATGTTGGAAGCTGATGGTAGCCTGGCTGTACTAAACAGCTTTTCATATAGGTTCACAGTCCAGTTAACGATGGGCCTACTGATAATGGGTTCGGGGCAGCTTGTGTAAAGATTTTACAGGGGGAAAGTCGTCTACTATAGCCAACCTTGTGCAAACAGATCTATGACAGACAGTGACAAAGTCTGACTATGATTGTTCTGAATGCCACACCACTGGATTACATTTCTTCAGTTGTCAGCCGACATTAGAATGTGTTGCTTACATGGTAAAAGACATGTCCCCTTTTCTTCGAAGAAAATTAGACAGTCTTTCAGTGGTAACATAGATCAATCATATGTTGGAAAGGATTCTGCCATTGCAAAGATCTTGTTATCAGTTGGTCATAGGTCCCTTTGGCAGACTATGCTAAATGATTCTCGAATTAGTAACTTCTTGCTCTTATTGACCTTGTATCACTCTAACTTAATTGACAATCAATGCTGTGAGTTACATTACAATAGTTGATTTCTACCTACTTTCTATATTGAAAAAGTACCTGATCTCAAAAAGGGAACATTTGCTATGCATATTATAGGAAACATCTACAATTGTTAATCATGCCTTAGGCTGGGTTCACACCTAGGCGTATCGAATATGCTCGTTTGAAAAAGCAAAGCCCTGCTCCTCTACCAAGATGGCCGCCTCCACAACGAGGCATACTGCACAACAAGGCATGGTAAGTCAATAATAGGGAAAGATCAGCTGCAGGGAGACCACAGACAATACTACTGACTAGCCTTTTGCCCCCTGCTTGCCTTTTTCTTTCTTTAAAAAACTTCCACAGTCCTGCAGCGAGCTCTTTTGTAGTCATCCAGTGTATGAAACCTCTCAGCGGCACGTGTATAACCTGCGCACAGCTTCATTTTCTGGTATTCAGCTTTTGTATTGCACTGGTGTGATTTAATGTTTCATTTCATCTTTGGGCTCTCTCTGCATAGCTGACCATGTGCATTGCTCTGTGTTCTCCGATGACAGGATCGATTGCGCCGGAATCCTGAAGTTAAAAAACGCAGATATTGAACTGAGGAAGGGTGAGACGGACATTGGAAGGAAGAACACCAGAGTACGCCTTGTCTTTCGAATACATATCCCAGAAGCCAGCGGGAGGATTGTTTCCTTGCAAGTGGCGTCCAGTCCGGTCGAATGCTGTGAGTGTCCGAAATATACTGCTTCATCTTTTTGGCATCAACCCATTTTTTTTAACAAATACCCCTATCCAGGGCTCAAAATTTCAAGTCCTGAGCTACTAGCCAGGCCTTAAGAGTTGCTCGCCACCTGTCGCCCCACCTGACCCCTACCATGCCCCGCCCTTAACTCTGCCAGGTCAGTGGTGTGACACAGAGATCAGTAACAATGCAGAGTGCAGAGGCCAGTGGTGTGATGCAGAGTACAGAGGCCAGCAGTGTAATGCAGAAAAAAGCAATGTATCCTCCATGTCCCAGGTGTCCTGCTTCTCCTGTGCTGTCCTTCCAGCCAGTAGCAGCTCTGCAGTCTTCCTCCCAGCCTATGGCAGCTGAGGTTGGCAGAGGAAGTGGCGGAAGTCCCCCCCCCCCTGGATTTCCACTCGCCCCCACGCAATTTTCACTCGCCAATTGCGAGGGGGCGAGTGGAAATTTTGAGCCCTGCCCCTATCAATAGAATGAACTTTTAATTTCACTTGGCTGTGATGTAACACCAACCTGGCATATGGGTGCATTATATTAGTCCTGATTCATGGAGCTGTGATCACACTACAAAGGCTGCCACTGCTAACCTACACTAGTCTGAAGGCTGTGATGCTGATCCTGTGGCTTGAGTACTTTCTGACGCAATGGATTGGAATAGTTATGCAGAGTTCTGACTTTAATATCTGCATTCTTGATCCAGGCCAGTCCCTTTAAAATTACTAAAGCCAAAAATCAGCCAGGCAATTCATGTTCTTAGGAGAGTAGCAGCGGTGGTATTCCCTGTATTTTTACCAGTACAGCTTTCTTTTACAGCATATCTAAAATCGCAAGTTGGTGGATAGAGTTAGAACCCATATCTGGTTTTTATTGCGGTCTGTGTCCCATTAGGGGGATTTCCATTCACTTCCTGTTCAAAAATCACAACAGGATGTGACAGCATATCTCTCCAATGTGAGGGGAATTTCCATCTTAGACAAAGATTACTGGAACAGATGTCCCCGTTAGAAAATATTCCCTCTGTAACCTTTTCAGTTTAGAATTTGCATCACTTGCTGTCCAAAAAGAAAGATAATAACTCTCCAGCATCACTCTAATCAGAAGACTGAGGTTATACTGTGAGTTCAGGGTGTCACGGACCAACCCCCTGAGGGGGCGTCACCATAACGCTGTGCGATCAATGATGCAGTGATTGGTGCTGACGTCAACACCACTCTCTGTATCATTGAGGATCTCTCAGCCCAGAGGACAGGAAGAGGGTCCTCCGACATCACATGATCAGTCTGAAGGCTGTGTAATAGGTAATTATTAAAAAACAGCATTATATACAGCCTGATGGTATATTAAGGGGAGGGAGGAGGAAGTACCAAACCTGGATTTGGGCGTTAAGTGTCATTGCATCCTCCTTTCCAATCAGGCCTGTTATCTGTTATTTATTAGGTGCCAACGAATTTAGTAGCAAAGCAAATAGTGAACACTTATAAGTTACAAAATAAAACAAAAAGGAAGAGGGTGTTACTTGGTGGTGCTCAGAGTCTAATAAAGAAAAGAGAATGATACAAGCAGCATAGAAACCCTTGATGGGTTAGGTCTGTGAAGGTTCTCATTCACCCAGGTCATGGTATATCTTATTTTTTACAGATATACTTGATGGGTTAGCGATAGTCAAATCTAATCTATGTCAGATGTTTGCATGCACTTTGACCTATTGTAACATTTCCTTGAAAGTCATTTTTAATGGCAGACATTTCACATTTGCCTGTTTATCACTTTTAATGCGACCACAGGCTTATTTTAAGACAGACTGCATCACCTTCCTGGCCTGAAGAGAACACGTCTGTCATTGCTTTACCTGTAAGAAAGCGATCAATGTAAATAGCCAGATTAGCTTTTTATTACAGACTTATGTGAGATGTTGCATAAGGAGGACTGGACTTATGGAAGTGCTCTCTTTTGCGGGCGGATTGGTGTCAATGATTCATGCACACTGCAGCAATTTATCCTTTCTCTGATCAGCCGAATGTCACTTCCTGAGTAGTATGCTTTGTATTTCCAGGGGGGTGAGATAACCATCAGAACAGTATAATTTAGAACTGCTCTAGAAAAGGGTCTGCCTGCTTGAAGTGTTTACATGTACTCTATTTCTGTACAGTGAACCCGCCTCTACCAAACCATTATCACAGTGAGACATTTTTCTAATACCATTTTTTTTTTATAGCATTATACTTAAAGTCCCGCTATGGACCAATGCAATAGCACTACAAGGGTTAAATGTCTAGGGGTAGAGGAACAAGTTGGAATGCCTTATTCCTTGCTCTGGCAGGCTTCCTCTATTGTAGGGGGTGCACTGCATAGAGATTTTATTATTTTTTTGTAATTCCCAGCTTTGGGTTCACACCTAGGCGTATCGAATATGCGCATTTGTAGTTTCCGAGGGCTACCTGGCTGTATCCCAATGGATACGCGCGGCAAATACGCCCCAAAGAAGTTCCTGTACTACTTTGGGCGTAGGGCGTTTTGCAGCGCGTTCCTACGCGCTGTAAAACGCCAAGGTGGGAACCATGCCCATAGACAATCATTGGTTTTCACATGTTGAGCGTTTTACAGAGCGTAGGAACGCGCTGTAAAACGCCCAGGTGTGAACCAGGCCTAAAGGAGAACTATGAGGGGAGTGATTTGCACTCATCCTCATAGTTAGAACCGACGTGTGACAATTAAACTGTCACATGTTGTCTATTGATCGGGAAGTGAGCGAACACCTACTGTCGCTCGCTCACTTCCTCATTATCTCCCTGCAGAGACTGTCAGTCAGGGATTCCCCCTCCCTCTCCGATCCTCCAGCGCAGACTGGAGGGACGGACGGGGAGGGGGGCGGGCATAGCTGGCTCTGCCATTAGATAGGCAGAGCCCGCTGTCAATCAGCCAACTGGGTGGATCTTGACAGTTTTGTCGGGATCCGTCCTCGCTGTGGCGCACTATATATACTGAGCTTTGGGTCACCCTAAGCTCAGTATATATTGGGGGGTTTTATGTAATTTTCAGGCCTAAAATGTGGAATATAACATGGGTGCAAAAAATGAAAAAAGGGCCTCAGTCATGAATGGGTTAAACAAACCACAGGGACGTTGTGTCTTTGTTAATGAACTTGTAATGGTTTTGAAATTTCCATCTCGGTGCACCTCTAGTAGTTGCCCTTACCACTATGTGAGTGTCAATTGCAGCTGTAGAGGGTTGTGCATCAGAGCTGATCACATCCTAGCAGCATTGCCAGGCTGATTTCTCAGATAAATCCTTGCTTGGCTCTTCACTGCCACTTTCAATAGATTGTCACTTTCTATCCCACCACCCACTTCCACAATGTTGCCTCATGATCTTGTTTCACATGTGATTCACTCTTAGTTTTTTTGTTGAGTTGCTGAACCCATAGTTTAATGTAGTGTGATACAAACCATTGGGGTTTACAGAACTTTTCGGGTTTTCCTTCAGAGTTCAGTTTTCGCTTAGAAACTTTAGTTATTTCCAACATGAAGTAGGCAGAGAGAACTGGCTGTGCTCTGCTTGTCTGAGAACATTGCCATTTTGTGACACTTGAGCCATTTAAAGGAGAACTATTGGGGTAAGTGTTTTTCACGGGAGGACACAAACTAGCGTCCTCCCGTAACCCAAAGCTCAGTAAAACACTGAGACCGCCGCAGGCAGGACGGATCCCGACATTACTGTCTGGATCCACCCAGCTGCGTGAGTGGCAGCTTGCTCTGCCTATCTAGAGGCAAAGCCAGCTGTACCCGCCCCCTCCCCCGTCCGTTCCGCCAGTCAGCGCTGGAGGAGCGGGGGGAATCCCAGCAGGGAGCTGTGAGTGACAGTCACCACTCTCTGCAGGGACATGATCGAGAAGTGAGCGAGCGACGGTATGTGTTCGCTCACTTTCCGATCTATTGAGCCGACCTGTGACCGTTTCATTGTCACAGGTCGGCTAGAACTATGAGGTGAGTGATTTTCACTCGCCTCATAGTTCTCCTTTAAGCACAACGTTTTAATCTCAAAATTGAAAATGCAAAATCTGGTCGTTTGAAATGATCTAATTATATGTAAGACAATATAAAATATGGATTTGGTATACATAGAATTATATTTATTGTGAAATGAAATACAGGACCTAAAAAATGACTTAAACACAAGGCAACAAGATGTAAACTAAATGACCAAAATCTCAAAAATTCTTTAAAGTGACACTATCTCAGGAGTTCAATCTTAAAAATACATTCAAGCACCTTAAAGGAGAACTATGAGGCGAGTGATTTCCACTCATCCTCATAGTTAGATCCGACCTGTGACAAAGAAGCTGTCACAGGTTAGCTCTGTCGATTGGGAAGTGGGCAGAAGCATGCCGCCGATCCGCTCACTTCCTGATCGTCTCCCTGCAGTCAGCGCTGGAGGATCGGAGCGGGGAGGGGGGGAATCCCTGCAGTCACGGCTCTCTGCAGGAACGTGATCGAGAAGTGAGCGAGTGACGGTATGTGTTCCCTCACTTCCCGATCTACTGAGCCGACCTGTGACCGTTTCATTGTCACACGTCGGCTCGAACAATGAGGTTGAGTGATTTTCACTCACCTCATAGTTCTCCTTTAATGACACCTGATAATGTTTAGCATGACGCCGTTGTAAGCAAAAGGAGCAGAAAGATAATGATTTTCTGCTGATCTAACCCATACAAATCATTAATACTGTAACAGCAGGGCAGAGCTGATAGTTGCAGTGTACAGATGTCAAAGAGGCTGAAAGTCTAAGCCATATAGAAAGCTGTAGGTATGATTCAGCCTTTATCAGCACCTAATTATTTCAGTAGACGTGCAGAAATGAAGGTTGCAAGTATATGTCTGCTTCTAATACAGTATTCGATAACACAGTAATATCAGGCAACAACAAGTCCCGGTGATTCCACTAAGTGGCAGGATGTGGTGGAACTTTTGGTTTGTCAGTATTTGAGATGACAAGTTGCTCAGCCTCTGTCTAAAATCATGCAGCGGGAACAAAAGCGCTGTGCGAATGATAGTGATGGAATGTTGTGTAGAATATATATATTTGTTTTATTTTTCCACTCACATGAATTTCAATTTATTTTCCTGTCCAGCTCAAAGATCTGCTCATGAACTCCCTCTGGTGGAAAGGCAGGACATAGACAGCTGTCTTGTGTATGGGGGGCAGCAGATGATTCTGACCGGGCAGAATTTTACAGCTGAATCCAAAGTTATCTTCACAGAGAAGACACCAGGTAAGTTTTGTCTACATGTGTCTATATGATTACAGTTTAGGAAATCATACCTGAACTCTGTCACAGTCTGTGCCCCTCTGCTTCAGTACTAAAAATTAGGGATGCACCGATAATAGGAACAGTATCGGTGCCGATACCGACTATTTGGGGCAAGTTCCCTTACTCACCCAAATGCTCCGATACTTACCCCCGATACTGGAACTTATGGTCAGAGAGAGATTTCCTCTGACCGGCAGTAAGGCGAGGGAACATGGAGCCTGCTTCAGGGCCAATCAGGAAGCCGGGTGTCGGATAATGACTCGCCACCTTGCTTCCTGATTGTCGGGGAAGCTAGGCTCCGTGCTGATTGGCCAGGAAGCTGGCTTCCTAGCCAATCAGCATCTAGCTGGCCAAACAGCATGGAGCCAGCTTCCTGACCTATGAGGAAGCCAGGCGGCAGGTAAAGACCCTCCGCCAGGCTTCCTTATTGGCCGGGAAGCTGGCTCGATGCTGATTGGCTGGAAAGCCGGCTTCCCGGTTAATCAGCATCGAGCTGGTGTTTGATCACTTCAGAACACCAGCCAAACAGCATGGAGCCGGCTTACTGGGCAATCAAGAAGCCAGGCGGTGGGGAATGACACGCCGACCGGCTTCCTGATTGGTCAGGAAGCTGGCTCCTTGCTAGCGGAAGTACCAATATAAAAATAATTATTGGTACTCGATACTGAAAAAACGGTGTTGGTGCATCCCTACTGAAAATAGAAAGGAGAGTTTTTTGAAGCACAGTTGTTTTCATTAAACCTATTATGTGATCGCTGTTCTATACAGCCATCAAGAAGGGGTAACATGGAACAATCAATCCCTCCTTGACAGCTTCAGCTTTCTGCACAGAAGCCTGGGTTTCCATATGTTAGAATGAGGATATGCCCGAGTCTTTCTATGACTAGGCCTGAATCCAATCCCTTGTAATACAACAGACATGTGAATACCTTCAGTCTATACACTATACAGTGATCAGTGACTGGGAACCAGTGTTTCCAGTACATAAACACACAGTGAGTGGAATTTATCAAGCCAGGAGAGAGAGAGCGAGGAGAGACAGCCAGGAGAGATAGATAAGACAGCCAGGGGAGAGAGCGAAGAGAGACAGCCAGGAGAGAGAGAGCGAGGAGAGACAGCCAGGAGAGAAAACAAGGAATGACAGCCAGGAGAGAGAGAGAGCTAGGAAAGACAGCCAGGAGAGAGAGCTAGGAAAGACATCCAGGAGAGCTAGGAAAGGCAGCCAGGAGAGAGAGCTAGGAAAGACATCCAGGAGAGCTAAGAAAGGCAGCCAGGAGAGAGAGCTAGGAAAGACAGCCAGGGGAGAGAGCAAGGAGAGACAGCCAGGAGAGCGAAGAGAGACAGCCAGGAGAGAGAGAGACAGCCAGGAGAGAAAACAAGGAATGACAGCCAGGAGAGAAAACAAGGAAAGACAGCCAGGAGAGAGAGGAGAGACAGCCAGGAGGATGAGCAAGGAGAGACAGCCAGGAGAGACAGAGCGAGGGAGGTTTTTTTCCTTGGTAGATCTCATGTAGCTCGTCATTTGAAAAGTAGATCTTAACACCAAAATTTGTGGGCACCCCTGTGCTAGATGAACACTTGATTTGTCAGGATCTCCATGCATTTCTTTTTTCTACTTTCTAATCTTTACATCGCAACCTTTTTTCCTTCCACATAAACTTTCATATTCCCTATCGGTGTCAATTCCTTGCTGCCCTCTTTTGTAGAAGGATTGCCTTACTGCATGGTAACACCATTGTGTATAACTAATGTGTATTCTTTGTAGTTCCCCATGTTGGCGAGCTGCAATTGTATACAGAGGCTGTAACTAAACACACACTGATGTTGTCTGGCACCCCATCCCACCATTACCTTGCATAAATCTCCACAACACTGCAGGCAGCCTGAACTCTCTCCCTCTCTCTCTCTCTCTGATGTCATTGGGATATCCCAAGAAAACATTGCAAAACAGGAAAAAATCTAAGCGCTCTGATTGAGAAACAGTGGTGCTGCAAGCCGGTTGCCATAGCTCTGGGAAAACGCAGGGAGACGGGGTGGAATCCAATGTTTTGGAAGGTTCCCTCATGACACAATCCTCTGGAATCTTACAGATGGTAAATCCTCATTAACACAACAATCCAACGCATTTGCTCCATCCTTTCTGGCACGGAGCACCATACGGGGGCGCAAATGGACTCCAGCCTGATTTTCTCCTCTGAAACTTCATTTCTTAAAGAGCGTGTTTTTTATTTTTTTGGGGGGGAATACACCATAGAAAGAAAAGCACGTTGAAAGCTGCTCGGATGTTCTGTTAATCTGGCGTAGCGAGAGAAATTCCCTATTCTCTGACTGACTCAGAGGCTCCACGTGACTCATGTTATTGCTTGCTGGTTCCCAGCGTTCTGCATAAGTGTATGGGACTGTGTGGAGTGTATTGTTGTAAAGAGATGGGGCCCACCTGCTCAGATGACCCTCTTGACATTGGCAGTGCCTTGACAGCAACATGCTGCAACCAGTCCTAACCTCTAGAGCAGTGATAGATTGTACCGGATTGTATGAACCCTGGGGTTGGCATACTCTACAAATTACTTCTCTGTTTTACTGCACTTAGTCTTACTGGTTGGCACATTTGCCTGCCCAAGCTTGGGCCCTGTGTTTAGCCAAGGACACTGGGGCCCTGTGTTTAGTGCCAGCCAGGGACACTGAGTCCCTGAGTTTAGTGCCAGCCAGGGACACTGAGTCCCTGTGTTTAGTGCCAGCCAGGGACACTGAGTCCCTGTGTTTAGTGCCAGCCAGGGACACTGGGGCCCTGTGTTTAGCCAAGGACACTGGGGCCCTGTGTTTAGTGCCAGCCAGGGGCACTGAGTCCCTGTGTTTAGTGCCAGCCAGGGATACTGGGGTCCTGTGTTTAGCCAAGGACACTGGGGCCCTGTGTTTAGTGCCAGCCAGGGACACTGGGGCCCTGTGTTTAGCCAAGGACACTGGGGCCCTGTGTTTAGTGCCAGCCAGGGACACTGGGGCACTGTTTTTAATTCCATCCAGGGACATGGTGGCCCTGTGTTTAATTCCAGCCAGGGACACGGGGGCCCTGTGTTTAGTGCCAGCCAGGCACTAGATTTGTTCACAGAGAGACAACATAGAAGAGCCAGGGCATTTCAGGGGTTCAAAGCTCTCCCCTACTCCATGACACTGCTCTTCCTGTCTGCTCTTTTGCTCTAGTCATTGTTTGGGCAGCTAAACTGCATTAACTGAATTGATTTTTTTTATTTTAACAGTTTAGAATGAATATATTTACTTTTTATGCGCTGTGAGGGATTAGCATGAAATGGCACAGGAACAAGGCAGGGATCTCAGTCCAAAAATCCCTCTTCAGGAGCCTTTGAAGTCAGGAACACAAAGATAAGTCCATTGGAAAGTTTCTGACTCTAAGGTTTATTCTTCGAAAGAGTGAAGCCTTCCATTGCAGGGGTACATGAAACTCGACATAGGCAATATCAAGCCTCAGCAGTGCTTCCCTGGCACACTGAGAGCCCCTCCAGTATTTGGGCATCTGCGTCCTCAGCCAGTAATGGTCTCCAGATAGCCCACCTACCCTTCCCCTAGCTGGACTACAGTGCCCCAATGAGCAGAACTCCACTGTCCTGCCTGTCTATACGTCTGTCTGGAGCCTTGTATCTTCACCAACACCACAGTCTGGTCTCATGATATACCCCCATCCATGACTTCTCCCTGCCCCTTCCATGGCCACATGTCACTGTACTTCCCCGCAGGTCTTTAATACCATTTATATTTTTTCTGGGCGCTCCCCCTTTATAAACACGATTGCTAAACGCTTCCTCTTTTCACAGCATAGTACCATACAAAAGAAGAAGTCAAGTAGTATGTTGGAATCGCGTACAAATGTATGCCAACCATGTTCTACTTGTGGAGCTCACACCATAGGGAGCCATTGTTCCCATCTGCGTCAAAAATGATTTCTACTCTTTGCAATTGTTCAGTGTTGCTTTTAGCAGCGTGACCGAGCTATTAAAACTCGCCTGTGTAGCTCTAGACCAGGGGAGGGCAGACTCTGGCTCTCCAGCTGTGGTGGAACTACAAATCCCATGAGGAATTGTAAATTTCTCACAGGCAGATGCATGATGCAATTTGTAGTTTCACCACAGCTGGGGGGGGGCTGGTGTTTGCCCGCCCCTGCTCTAGACTGATGATTTCGATTTTACTTGTAGAAAAACTTTTTATATATTTTTGGATATGCCCGAGTCTTTCTATGACTAGCCGTACAACCATCTTTTCTGTAATCAGCATCATTCAATCACAGGACATCGCCACGTGTTATAAATGTACCTTTTCTGAATCACCAACCCAAAATGTTTTCAATGGGCAACGCAGCACTATTAAAAAACCGAAAGCTGTGAAATGGATGTGGAGGGGAAGTCCAAGAAACTGCCTCTCTCTCTGGAACCTTTGAGCATTTGCTTCATAATCATTATCACCTTTTTCATATATCATGTGCTTTGTCTGCATGTACAGTTTAGTTGCTAAACCGCATTACCTGCTGCCAAGTGACTCATCACTCTCAATATCAGATCGGCCAGATGACACGATAAGAGTATAAAAGATGAAGCAGGAAGCGAAAAGAGGTTGACGGCTTTGCTGGTGAAGTTTCTGAGAATCCAGCAACACTCTTGCTTAGAATTTAAAGTGAACCGCACACACGGCGGCGGCGGCATCTTGTGTTCTGGCTACCTAGTAGGAATGGCGGCATCTACACTGTCTGCACTAGCATCTCCTTAGACTGGAGGTGGCGGATTGATACAGAATACAGGAGCCGATCTGTCAGATACAGGCGTGTTAGATGTACCTTTCAGGGCCGGTTCACACGACGTCTGGATTGTGTCCGGACCAGAACCGCGCGCTCCTGCACCCAAAATGCATCCCAATGTATCCCTCTGTGTTTTATGGGCTACAGATCTCACGTGCCCAGTCCATTCTGGTCCGGAAAGAGAAAATGCTGCATGTCACATTTTGTCCGGTCTGGATATGGTCCAGAAACGCACGAACGTGTCAAAAACGCAAAGAAAACACGCCAAAAACGCACCGCAGCTAACAAACTTTCTTTTTTTTAACTGGAACTCGTCAAAGACGCATAGCACCGCGTCTGCAGATCTGCTCCAGATCTGGTCCGGACATCGTGTGAACAAGCCCTCAGTCATACTGGACGGTTTACCATGACAATGCACACATGGAAGATCGGACCATAAATGCTTGCGTTTCCAACCTGGTGGTTTTAAACCTCCGAATATACATTCACAAAGTATATTTGCATTGTTTTAACTTTCCAAAAAGTTATCATTGAAGGGAATTTATCAAAATCTGGAGCAGCTGTCCACGGCAGCCAATCAGCTTCTCTCTATCATTTTCAAATCTTAACTGAACAAACTGAAGAGAGAAGCTGATTGGTTGCCATGCACAGCTGCTCCAGATTTTGTCTGCTTGGGCGTTGATAAATTCCCCCCGATGTGTTTGGCCGTTGTCGTGGTCCAGGCAATCCTTGCAGCTTAGTCAGGTTCGATAACCTCAATTTGTGTTTTCTTAATGGCACATTTCCCGGTGTTCTCCACACAAGTCACAACATACCAATGGATCCTTCCAGAAATCCTGTAACTCACAGTTACCTATCATCTGATAGTTCTAGTTGGGTTTCATCCCCACATGCAAGTGAATATATACCCCCCTCTTCACAAACCTACTCCCTCCTCCAGCCTACCTCGTCCTCCTGTGCTAGGTTGTGGCGCTGCTTCCTCTCCCCTTATGATATCTGATAGTTCTGCCTGCCAGTGTAATCAGCCCTAGATGAGTGCTCCCCTGCTGGACTACAGCACACCTCCCCTTACGTTATGGAGATGAGGAGGAGAGGCGTTCCATAGCCCTAATCCAGCACGTTATTAACCTGAGTTGCCTCACTCAATATGGCCGACGCTTGCTTGAATTTGGGGCTATATTGAATGGAGCAACTCTGATTAATAACGTGCTGGATTAGTGTGACCCTAGTTGATTATAATACTTTACTGCTGTGTGGTATGTGTATATGGAAATGCTGCCGGTGGCGCACACGCAGTAGAGCCTACTCACCCAAACCTCTTACTGGCAAGTAAACCGGAAGTGGCGTCGTTGGAGATCTCGAGGAGTTAGGCCCCATTCCCACTAAGCGATTTATCGCGAAAAGTCGCCGGCCAATGCTATTCAATGGAGCTGCCTTAGCTCCATGTCGCCCGTCGCTGTCGCTCCAGCAGGACCCTTTTTTTCTGCGGATTTTTTAATGGAGCCGGACGGTGAAGGTCTTGCTACCGTCGCTGGATCGTCGCCCCTAAAGTCGCTCTATCTTGGCCGCGCGGATCCGCTGCAAAGGGTATGTCGCTTAGTGTGAATGGGGCCCTAGAGTTTTCGACAGAACACCGGCATTCATTTTATAGATGCGTGGCGGCTTGGCTTCCTCCTACTGGAAACCAGAGCTGCCATTGATCGAGATGTCGGTTGTTTTCATCAAGCAAACGGCGTTGATAAAGTTCAGGCGCGACGAGAGCGAAAATTTAAAAAAAGACTTTGATTGTGCGGACAGCTGAAAAGACTGACATCATTGTTTTCATTTCATCAGAGAAAAATGGAAACAATTGAATAGTTCCAGTAACACCTCATTTGTTGCTTCACCTATGAGATAAGAGAAAACTGCGCTCTTGTGAAGGCTTAGCACCGGAATTTCAGAAACAGCCTCATTTCGGGATTATTCCACTCAGTTTTTGTCTTTTTCACACTCATACAGATCGCATGACGCAGTTTGTGGCTCCTGTCCGCCGGATAATGCAAGTGTTTAGCGTTTTACAGCTCTTTGCTTTGTCGCCAAACGTATTACTTCTCGGCCTATAGGGAGCTGGCGTTTTCAACACCCTCGTCAAGCGTAATTAGTTTAGTGAAACCACACTTTATGGGAACAGTTTCTGCCAGGGCTGAATTCCTGAGCCGCCTTCTTATTTCCAGCATCTCAAAATATCGAGTAAATTGGCATGACAAGCCAGACAGCTGGCATTTTCAGAAAAAGACGTCAGCAATGACCGTGTTCCTTTTTTATTTCAGCAGAGGTCTCTAGAAATAAGTGATTTGTCATGCAGCCATGGCCATAAAGAGACCCCCTCCACCTCTTCAACTCCTATACACCAGACATTCTGATCATGGGGCCCACTACAGTCACACATGAGCAGCCCTTTACCTAGATTTTAATGGGGGGGTGCTGTCTTAGGAAAACATACTCTCCATCAGGTGACACCAAAATGACTGACAGTCATTTTGGTGTCACCGCCTCTAAAAAGTCAGGAGAGAGGCAGCACCGGCAGCATACCTCATCCCGCCGTGTGAACGTCCCCTCCTTTCTCTGCCGGCGTCCATCTCTAAGGTGGCCGCCGGCAGGCGTCACTTAAATGACCGCGCACACGCGATGACGTCACGGCCGGGTGTCACCCGGTCTCCGCTCCCGGTGGCACGCGGCCCCCGGGACGCTCCTGCTCTCCATTTAAGTCTATGGTAGAGAGCTGCATGTGAGCAGTATGTTGGTCCCTAAAATGCATATAAAATAGTGACAGGCGCACACTAGATGGCTATTGCCGTAGATGGGGTGCAAAATCTGTAATCCTAACACACAGAGAATTTCCATCAGCACACCGCTTGCAAAAACTATTTGTCTTTAGATATCAGTGATAGAATCTCACCTACCATTGTATGGGGACCGCACAAAAGAAGACTTGAGAAAGGGGCCCCTGTTCAGTCTCTGAAATGGTTGGTGATATTCTCTCTCTGCAATTATTCTTTGACTTTGACAGCATGATGATTCTTATTTAATCTGCAAGCAAACGATCTCCATAAACCCGGGGAAGGCGGATGAGTCTGTATAGCAGAAGCTGCTTGTATAAGAAATCTGATCCCAGATGGAATGTTATGATATGTCAGCTGTACATTGTGTATAATGTATAAACGTATGAAGCTTGCACATGAATAACAGTATTCATTCCCTTTGTAGCACTCCCAGCAGTGAGTAACGTTTCTCTATTTTTGTGTTTTAGACGGACAGCAGATTTGGGAGAGCGAGGCAACAGTGGATAAAGACAAAAGTCAGCACGTAAGTTTATTCTAATGACGCAACTTTGAGAGAGACAACCTAATGTGCGGCGGAACATCACATCTCTAGGCATACTCCCCCCCTTTCATATGAGATCATCAGTAGTTTCTATGCAAAACACACACTCCTAGGGGCACCAAGCCTCTGGATTTCTTGTCACAAGTAGGGCTACTAGAGGGCCCCGATCTGCTCACCTTATCGGCATGTCCCCAGTGGAAGGCCCAGAGGTTTCTCATGCTGTAAATAGATAAACATTTCGCTTTTCAGCAACCTTAGGACCGCTGTGATTGGCAGGTAACTGCACAAGGACGCACTCTCTGACCATAAAGTGTACCACAAGTAGAGAGGTTTTTAATCTTATGCCGAAAGATAGAAAATCCATTGAAAGTGTTTACCAAGATCGATAACGTTATTACCGTACATACCACTGTGGTCCTGAATGCTTCCGCTCTCCTCCTTCATTTCAGAGCATGCTATTCGTGGAGGTCCCAGAATACCGCAGCAAGCACATCACCTCTCCGGTGAAAGTCAACTTCTATGTTATAAATGGCAAAAGGAAAAAAAGCCAGGCTCAGCACTTCACCTACCACCCAGGTAAGTACCTGACTTCCAGAATGCTTGATGGTCATAAGCACGCGTTGTATTTCACACATCAGAGGATGGTGGGCTTGTGAGAAATCTGGCATGGAAGCTGACACTGGCATATGGTCACATCGGTTTTAGGAGAGTTTTATTAAGAAAACATAACATTACACGACAGGTTGGGTACAAGGATACAATGTTAAATGACCTGAGATCATTACATACAAGAGCAGTATAGGCCTTATGCACCAATCAGTAAAATGCAATTATTTTTTTTGCCCTCAGGAGAGCAATTTTAATAGCAGTGAAGATATTAAGGTTCAGCTTTACAGCCCCAGAACTAACACGTGGGAGAGGTCACTTCCATCTTAGGATTCGGACACTGCTTTGTGCCAGAGGAACTCGTACACCAGACCAGCAGACATTTTTTAAGTTGAAGGAATAGTTACTGCATCAATTTTCTAGGAGAAAAGTGCTTCATGATACGTGTTGTGATTCACTGACTGATTTGATAGGTTTCATGTCAAGCCTACAACATGGCTGCCTCCACTTCACAAGGATGACATGTACCTCTTAAAGGGCAATGCACAACCTTTTCTGCAGTTTTGGTATACTTTCTTTGATCTACATAGAGTTCATGTGTAGGGCAATGAGCAAAGTCATATTTCCTCTTGCGTATCTGCAGGAAATCATACAAATGACTCGATTGTTGGGTGCTAGTTTGGTTTGTGAGTCACCCCTCCACTTATGCATATGGTGGTTTCCCATTGACCTGCTTTACTGTAGATTGCTGGTCATTAGGGTATCCCATCATGATTCACACTAGCTGTGAAATATGATGATTAATGAAACCCGTGACCCCCAAAGACGCCGCATGCATTGTAGTGGTATTTTCACCTTCGTGTGATTTGACGTCCAACTGTTTGACCCCTTTGTGTGGAATCCAATAATTATTCATGTAATCATTACCGGATGCCTACAGTAACAATGAACCAATGGCGGGTTAAAGGGGCTTTTCACTTTCAGCTAGGCAAAGGAACATCATCCCTTTCTAATGAACACAAATGTTCTGAACACTGAACTCCAGGCAGATATAAAATACATAATTTATTGTAGTTTTATATTCTGTATTAAATCATCAGATTTATTTTCAAATGCAACTATTATTATCCTACCTGGTAGGAGGAGAGAGATAACCTTATCAGTTTCTGCTGTTCTTTCAGTATCCAGTCACAGGCAGGGAAGTGACAAAGCTGTATTGCATACAGTATAGAAGGTCACCAGCTTGCTATCTGGCAGAGCTGTGTAAATCTCAGGACTGCCTGAACAAAATGTGCCAGTTTTTATCTGGTAAAAAAACCAATATATGTTTGCCTGGAGTCCGGCATTAACTTTGTTAAAGGAGAACGATGGGGTCACTGTTCTCCCCCATAGTTCTCTTAAGGGTCACAGGAGGACATAAACTAGCGTCCTCCCGTCACCCGAAGCTCAGTATATAGGGAGCTACAGCTTGCGGTATACTGGGACCGCCGCAGCCGGGACGGATCCCGACATTACTGTCAAGATCAGCCCAGCTGCGTGAGTGACAGCTCGCTCTGCCTATCTAGAGGCAGAGCCAGCTGTACCCACCCCCTCCCCAGTCCGTTCCGCCAGTCAGCGCTAGAGGATCGGACCGGGGAGGGGGGAATCCCTGCAGGGAGCCGTGAGTGACAGTCACTGTTCTCTGCAGGGAGATGATCGAGAAGCGAGCGAGCGCCGGTATGTGTTCGCTCAATTCCCGATCTATTGAGCTGACGTGTGACAGTTTCATTGTCACACGTCGGCTCGAACTATGAGGATGAGAGGAAATTACTCACCTCATAGTTCTCCTTTAACTTTGTAGCGCTCCTGGACCTATTGGATTTGGGCAGAGTGTTTTCATATGTCAACCATAGAGGCAGTGTTCCCTCTATAAAGAACAATATAGTCAATATTCAAGCAGGACGTGACCACAATCCAACAAAGACGTTTCCAAGCTGCATTCAGCAAAGTGCAATGGATATCGACTGTCTGGTTCACCACAGAGAGCGGTTGTCCCTACTTTTCATGTTTTACACATCATAATCCATTTTTCCATAAAAGCAGGAAGCTGGTCTTCTGGTATTTGCCTGATTGTTTCTAGAGATGTTGGCAGGTTGGATCTTGGATGTTCTTAACATTGTAGTCAAATGAGAATAGACATCCCTTTTCTTCATCAATGCTCGTTCTATGGAAATCATGTGAATGTACACCTGTGGCCATTTGAGCCTTGACTAGTTCTCGTCTGTCCATCTCAGAACAAGTCTTGTCTGTCCATCTCAGAACATGTCTTGTCTGTCCATCTCAGAACAAGTCTTGTCTGTCCATCTCAGAGCAAGTCTTGTCTGTCTATCTCAGAACAAGTCTTGTCTGTCCATCTCAGAACAAGTCTTGTCTGTCCATCTCAGAACATGTCTTGTCTGTCCATCTCAGAGCAAGTCTTGTCCGTCCATCTCAGAACAAGTCTTGTCCGTCCATCTCAGAGCAAGTCTTGTCTGTCCATCTCAGAGCAAGTCTTGTCTGTCCATCTCAGAACAAGTCTTGTCTGTCCATCTCAGAACAAGTCTTGTCTGTCCATCTCAGAACAAGTCTTGTCTGTCCATCTCAGAACATGTCTTGTCTGTCCATCTCAGAGCAAGTCTTGTCTGTCCATCTCAGAACAAGTCTTGTCTGTCCATCTCAGAGCAAGTCTTGTCTGTCCATCTCAGAACAAGTCTTGTCTGTCCATCTCAGAACAAGTCTTGTCTGTCCATCTCAGAACAAGTCTTGTCTGTCCATCTCAGAACATGTCTTGTCTGTCCATCTCAGAGCAAGTCTTGTCCGTCCATCTCAGAACAAGTCTTGTCCGTCCATCTCAGAGCAAGTCTTGTCTGTCCATCTCAGAGCAAGTCTTGTCTCTCCATCTCAGAGCAAGTCTTGTCTCTCCATCTCAGAGCAAGTCTTGTCTCTCCATCTCAGAGCAAGTCTTGTCTCTCCATCTCAGAGCAAGTCTTGTCTCTCCATCTCAGAGCAAGTCTTGTCTCTCCATCTCAGAGCAAGTCTTGTCTCTCCATCTCAGAGCAAGTCTTGTCTCTCCATCTCAGAGCAAGTCTTGTCTCTCCATCTCAGAGCAAGTCTTGTCTCTCCATCTCAGAGCAAGTCTTGTCTCTCCATCTCAGAGCAAGTCTTGTCTCTCCATCTCAGAGCAAGTCTTGTCTCTCCATCTCAGAGCAAGTCTTGTCTCTCCATCTCAGAGCAAGTCTTGTCTCTCCATCTCAGAGCAAGTCTTGTCTCTCCATCTCAGAGCAAGTCTTGTCTCTCCATCTCAGAGCAAGTCTTGTCTCTCCATCTCAGAGCAAGTCTTGTCTCTCCATCTCAGAGCAAGTCTTGTCTCTCCATCTCAGAGCAAGTCTTGTCTCTCCATCTCAGAGCAAGTCTTGTCTCTCCATCTCAGAGCAAGTCTTGTCTCTCCATCTCAGAGCAAGTCTTGTCTCTCCATCTCAGAGCAAGTCTTGTCTCTCCATCTCAGAGCAAGTCTTGTCTCTCCATCTCAGAGCAAGTCTTGTCTCTCCATCTCAGAGCAAGTCTTGTCTCTCCATCTCAGAGCAAGTCTTGTCTCTCCATCTCAGAGCAAGTCTTGTCTCTCCATCTCAGAGCAAGTCTTGTCTCTCCATCTCAGAGCAAGTCTTGTCTCTCCATCTCAGAGCAAGTCTTGTCTCTCCATCTCAGAGCAAGTCTTGTCTCTCCATCTCAGAGCAAGTCTTGTCTCTCCATCTCAGAGCAAGTCTTGTCTCTCCATCTCAGAGCAAGTCTTGTCTCTCCATCTCAGAGCAAGTCTTGTCTCTCCATCTCAGAGCAAGTCTTGTCTCTCCATCTCAGAGCAAGTCTTGTCTCTCCATCTCAGAGCAAGTCTTGTCCGTCCATCTCAGAGCAAGCCTTGTCTGTCCATCTCAGAGCAAGTCTTGCTGGACAGACCAGGACTAGTCAGGACTCAAGTTCTCTTGGAACTGGATGTTGCAAGAACTTTGTAGTCCCCAAGCAGAAGAAAGCCTGTTTCCCATTGCTGGAACTACCTATGCAGAGAACGCCATGTAGAATAAATTGACGTGTCCATGTTCTAGTATGCACAAATATGTCCTCTGTTATGGTATGCGGGCTCACTTCACTTAGAATTTCTTATTAGTGTTTTTAACACTGCAGGGTCATTTGAATCGCCCCCACCCACCATAGACAGCACTCAATGTGAGGAAGAAGATACTACAGCCACCAGATGTTCCCTAAAGTCCTAACATGAAATGTTTATTTTATTAGAATACTATGACAGTGTCTCTAGGTAGTTAGAGCATGTCCTGACCTTGTTATGTGCGTTGGAATGGTGTTAATTTGTGTCCAGTAGCTGACTATTCTATGTTACTGATGAGCTGTAGAAATTCCAGGACACAAGTAAAGATACTTTTCGAGCTCCAAGACTAGACTAGAGCAAAATTCTAAAGTTAGGAGGCCACTGTCATTTGTAAGGAGCACACGGAGCTCCTGGGATTTGTACATCTCTGTTTTAATGTATGATTTTGTTATTATAAATATATATAAGGGATGCACCGATACCAGTTTTTTCAAGTACAAGTACTGATACTTGCGCAAGTCCTCACAGATACAAGTACTGATACTTGCCTAAGTCCTCACCTAGTTTGCCTTGCAGTAGATACACCCCTGGATGCACTGATACCATTTTTGCAAGTACAAGTACTGAATGATACTTGTCTGAGTCCTCACAGATACAGGTACTGATACATTATTGTTTATTGTCATGTGACAGTTTTCCTAAAACAATACAGACTAATGATTTCAGGACAATGGTGGAGCACCAGGGCCATGTCCCAGCTGCAACTACTGCAACCCTGGTAGTTCTCATGAAATTGCCAAGTATCGGGATGGGTACTCGAAAGGTATCGGTGCATCCCTAGTATAAATGAAGGCTTGTGTTCCTTGGCGGTTTTTAGATTCCAGCAAGTTCCTCCTCCTTTGTTGGATTAAATACTGATAGACAATTTTTTTTTTTTTTACTTGTGTTTCAGTGCCATCCATTAAATCAGAACCTCTCGATGAATACAATTCTCCCATAGTGGTCAGCAGCGCACACAGCGCCCTGGGGTCTGTTTCACAGAGCTACTACTCCCAGCATCCAATGAGCAATGATTCTCCATCCTGCCTGGTGGCCAACTTGGTCTCTTGTCAGCAAGTACGACCCGGTCTTCCATCACCCGATTCTCGATATTCTCAACAGAGTCCATCAGCCGCTGCCTACCAGAGGAGCAAAAGTATGAGCCCCAGTCAACTAGGCTTTCATCAGCCTCCCCTGGTGGCCTCGCATATCGCTGTCCCCGATGTTCACAGATCAGTTCTCGTCCACGCTGGCTCTCCTGTCCATTCCGTGGCCAACTCGCAGCCATCTCCAGTCATTCATTTTTCTCCCATCAATCACCAGATGAGGTGTGGAAGCCACCAGGAGTTCCAGCACACAATGTGCTCCGACTTCGCTCCCAGTCTGCCGCGGCCCAGCCAGACCCAGAGATTAAGCCCCATTCCCTACCCAACGGTAATCCAGCAACAGTCCAGCGGCCACAGGCCTCCAAAAAGCATCCCTCCGGGAGCAGAGCAGAAGGAAACCGCACCTTCCGGGGTCACCGTGAAGCAGGAGCAGAACCTGGACCAGGCATATCTGGATGACGGTAAGACAAGATCCTAATGTTTTGTGGCATTAAATAACACATGTAGAAGTGAAGCCCAAAGAGGAAATCATAATTTGCATAATGTGACAGCCAATTAGATATAATAAGCAGAAATCTGATTGGTTACTGCACATTATCCCTGATCTATATACTGTGTATACTGTATACAACACACACAGCAACATAAGGACAACAGGTAAAAGTTTGTCAACTAGAGTTTATTATCTGAATCTAAACGATGATGTCTGTGATATTTATAACGAACATACGGAATCCCATTGATTGTTTTAGGCATCGCAGACAGTTCTTTGTTCAGGCTCACGGGTTCCAACTGCCTGTACACAACATTATATGAATACTCTACTGCCATTCCAGTTTAAAGGGACCCTGTCACATAGGTGACACCTCTGAACAAACCACGTACCTGTAAAGAAGTGGAATACTTACCTCTCCTGCTGCCCTAGCCACTGAACGCCATTCTGTTGCTGAGGAATGGTTCCCCCCCACAAGTTTACTGAAAAACTGGGGGGGTCGCTCTACTGCGGAACTCGCTGGTTATTCCTGCTGACCTCCACATCATTAGAGGACTCGGCAGTACTGTGGGGATCAGTGAAGGAGCCAGAGAACGCTACGGTGTGGACGGAGATCAACACTCCCCAAAGTATGTGGACCTCAGGAAATGATTTCTCAGCATCGGAACAGTGTTCAGCAACATGGGCGGCGGGAGAGGGAAGCGTCCTGTTTCTTTTTACAGGCCCATGCTTTGTTTATACGTTTCACTTCGGTGACAGGTTCACTTTAAATATATCGTACTGATTACACAAAAGTCCTGCAGTGACAATATGCTTTCATTCTGTTTTATAAGTATCAGGCAGCCAAGGTTTGTATATGATGAAATGTATACATACGCCCAGCTTCTGTCGCATAGTTTAGCTTTGGCTCTGTGTCTCTTACCACTTGCTGGATGTATCAAGTAGGACAGGCCGGGGTCTGTAATTTCACAGCATCGCGGAAGCCGCCATCTTGCCTCTCTCGGGGCCTGATCTTCCTCTGGAACATTTAAGACAACATTGATTTGTAATGCTTGTAGCCTGAAAACTTCACACTGCATTTTCCATGTTACATGCTGGCACGTCATCTGAAGCAGATGGATCATTCTGATGGGCTGCGGCAAGTGGCTTCCAGTTATTTATGTGAGGATTTTCTATTATTGCGGTGTGTTATTGCACAGTCAGGCTGTCATTAAATCGTCCATAAACTGAAGATACATCCTTAGCGGGATAACTGTTACATACTATGTTCTGGCACTGGTAGGAGGAAGGAGGAAATAATTCCCCCGGGATTTACAGACAGTTTTATCCTGTCAGTCAAACAGCCGAATGAGTTTCCTGGGGATCGGCTGCTCAACTAGCGTTTTTGCTAATTAAAGGAGACCCCCACATCAAAATGCAAGGTCCGCTTCTTTAATAGACCCCTGGCCCCCCACCCCACACCACCAACAGGCATACATATGTGGATAGTATCAAAACAATAAGAGACACATCCCCCTTCATCTTGTCTTAGTTCAGCAGATCTGATCCAGAAGCAAAAATACTCCAGCACTTCATATGTCAGATATGACAGGGATCAACTATTTCCTGGTGCCAGGTTGCCATGGTGACTAGAAATTGTGTTCTGGCACCTGGACTTTTGTCAGCCCGTTCACGGTCCCCCGCTGCTGCATCAGCTCTGCTCCTCTATTCTCCTTCCCGTTGGGAGTCCGCTGCATTCTGCGGTCTGTGTCCCCTTCCATCCCCGCTGTTCTCCCTGTCTGTTTCAGCAGAGGCAGCAGGGATCAGAGGGGAGACAGACCTCTGCAGCCGGCACCCAGCAGGTAGGAGAGACCACTGTAAGCTGCTGTGACTCTGCATTCCCCCCTGCCCCTGCTGCACCCCCCATGCCCCCTTTTCGGATCAACTGCCTGCAGTAGAAAGCCAGTAACACGTTTTACATCCTGCTATTGGCTATTTTATAATGATGCACCGATACTCGTACTCTCCATAATGGTCCCGGTGTTTATCCCCATACCGGAACTTCCGGTATCAGGAAGCCGGCTCCCTGCTCCCTCATCAGCAGGGAGCATGGAGCTGGCTACCCAGCCAATCAGGAAGCCAGGGGGTGAGTCATTACCCGCCCCCCGGCTTCTTGATTGGCCAGCTTCCCAACAACCAATCAGGAAGCCGGGCAGCGAGTCATTACCCGTCCCCCGGCTTCCTGATTGGCCAGAAAGACGGCTCCATGCTCCTGGTGACGAGGGAGCATGGAGGCAGCTTCCCGGCTAATCGGGAAGGCGTCTTTTTTAATGGGACTTCCGGTATCGGTACCAAACAAAAAATACTCGTACTCGATACTGAAAAACTATTCAGTATTCAATACTATTTGAAATTGCAGTAGCCAATAGCAGGCTGGCTATTGCACCTGCCTGCTGTCAATCTGCAGAGGAGGACCTAAGGGAGAACTTTTGATCGACTTTTACTGATACCTCTATATGCTTGGTGCCCCGGGGGTTGGCCTCGATGTTCATAGTAGCTGCCGCCCCAGCTTAAGGAACTGACACAACATTACTAACAGGTTATAATAAGAGATGGAAACTGCCGGACTATATAGAAGAGTATTTCTGTAGTCTGGAGCTGATTACATATTGAGTATCCTCTGTAAACAGTCCTGTGTACACCCCATACGTCTGCAGGTTAGCACATCGGACAGTCGTCCTCTCCACCTTCTCGCCATTAATAAACACTGTTCATGGTTTGGGGAAGTGAAACTGCGCGGATCAGGCAGGGTTCTGTGTCTTGTTATTCTCAATCACTCAAAGCAGTCCCTACACCTAAAAGACAAGACAGGTACTCCTGATTCTCAGCCTAACAATTGTCTGGGATCTTATTACACCACAACGGATCTTTGATCTCATTTACTCCGAATACAACTGTCATTAGGAGCCCCTAACAAGTAATGGGTCTTCTTTAAAGGGTTTTCCTCATTTATTCCTCCCTCTGCGCTTGCCTCATGTCTCTTTTCCTTGTTTGCACATTTCTTGCATGTTGGTCATCTAAAGCAGATCAGTGCCTCTCCTGCCCCCAATAATACCTAACAGCAGCAGTCTCCATTATTATGGCAATGGACAGAGTCAAAGCTGCTGATAATAATACAAACAGATCCCTGGTATGTAATTCATCACGTGAATACAAGCTTGCTGTGCTTACATGGTGTACGCAGAGTATACCACAACAACCTAAAAAACCATATCATTAATACCAGAGCTGTGTAACTGTACAAAGCAATCAAAGGGTTCATGCTGCAGCGTCTTATCCATCTGATCTATTTCAATACAGATAAGGACACACACAGCTGCAGGCCACATATTATGAAGGCGGCACATTGACTGGTACACTGTTGTCTCTTTGTTGTGGCCCCGCAGGCCCCATCATAACCACTTCTGATGTAGGCTGTACAGTGCCCGGGCCTGTGTTCTTTCAGAAGGCTTTTGGCATCTCTCTTGACCATGGGAACAGGGCATTGTGCTGGCAATTCTTTGCAGTCTCCTTGCTTGTAGATTTCTCTGGTAATGGAGAAGAGAAGGAAATTAGAACCCCGAGGACTTCTGCAGGGTAGATACATATATAAATATACAGTATATGGCATTTAGAGTAATGTTTTCTGTGATATTTTCTCCATCTCTTGCAGATTTCACTTTCCCATAATTGACACTATTTTATGGTCCTACTGAGAACGTAAATAAAGTGTCTCATCGTATCAGTGCCATCTCGGTATGACCGTTGCCTTCTGCTGGCTCATGGATTGGACAGAGGTGACCACATCCGTCTGCTGCTTCTTTGTGTTCTGACCCCGTGACCCTGACTAAGCTGTGCCATACTACAGTGGAGGTCATAGACACGGTTGTACTGTCTGGCAGAGGTACCTGATGCACAGAATTACAAACCCATTGGCAGGCCCAACAGTTCCCATCTATGTAATATATTACCCTGATTGCCTGGGGTTTACCTGAGATCCCCAGACCAAGTGTAGATCAGTGACACATTATTCTTCCAGTGTGGAAATCACAAATTACGTCATGTGCAACGCATTGAAGGTGTTAGGGTTTCTATATGAGGCTGATAGGCCATCCTTGCTGTATGGTCTTTATATAGTATCGGGGGGGATTTATAAAAACTGGAGCAGATAGAATCTGGTGTAGTTGCCTGTGGCAACCAATCGGCTTCTCTCTTTGTTTTTCCAAGCTTAACTGAACTGAAGAGAGAAGATCTCTGTCTGCCCCAGTTTTCATACATTTGCCCCAATGTACCCATCAGCGGTTCAGTCCTGCCGGGGTATAGATCTCTTCTAATTAGGGATTTGATATAATACCAGGGTCAGCAGGGTCTTCTCACAGGAGGGGAAGGTGACTTTTCTTTTCCCTTCTTGGAGGTTTCCACTCATACTCTGCATGTTCCCTCTACACGGGATCTCACCGTGCCGCCATCTTGGATTACATCACGCCCCTCATTGCTTCTTTCTACACTTCCTGTTCTTAGCGGGACATTCGATCCCATAGAATGAACTTCAGATCGAGCCGCGTGTTTTCCACAACTTTACCCCGGCACTGGCCGAACCTTAGAACTGCCAATATGGAGCCAGTTAAGCGCAATAGAAATGTGTGATGGCTGTAGAGATAGTTGATGGCCCCGAGTCATGTCTGCTCCGTAACATTCCAGCAGATTATAAAAGTCCCTTTCTTCTGAAAATAAAACTAAGGCAGGGCTGTTGTATAATGACTCGATCTGTGTTCTGCGGCCCCCAGTTATTTGGCGTGTCTGTACTGTGCTACACTTCTGTTTCTGGAAGAGTGAATGTTGACTCTCCTAGTGCTTTATGGACGTAGGATGTGGGCTGGGATCGCCGTGCCTTACGAGCTTCACCTGTGGGGTCCCCGATGGTGACATGCAAGAACAAGTGTCTGAAGAAGAACTTGCTCCATACCCGCTAGTCACATTCCTCCCGTCATATTCAGTAGCGTCTGATTAGTTTAATTGGACAACAAAGATCGTTCATTCAGAAAATGGGAATAAAAGCTGCCATTTAATGTGTGTGTCCAGCCCAAAGTGTTTTCTTAGCTTTGGACAGACCAGGGAGAGGCAGCCTCAGCACTCCAGCTCTTGTGGAACTACAAGTCCCATGAGGCATAAATACAGGTTATGTCTCAACCCCTAGACTTAACAAGGACTAGAGGCCACCACCTAAAATTAGTGGAGAAAAGATTTATCCACAAGGGGCGTAGGGGCGTCTTTTCTGACAAGACCCTTGACAGCCACAAGCATGACCCGCAGAGGCAAAGGCATGATGGGATTTGTGGTTCCCGCACAGCTGGAGTGCTGAGGTTATCTACCCTTGGGATAGAGTGAGGAAGAGTTTGAACTGTTTCTGATTTGTATTGCTATGTGGGGCCTGTTGTAGATTTATCCTCACTTCCTGTCCTGCTGACAAATTTGACTAGACAGGAAGTGAAGAAAACAGCAGCAGAGCCAGAAATAAAAAAATGTCTGTCTCTAGTAGAGTAGAAGAAGCCTCGAACCACTGTCAGAGTTTTATTTCTGTCTGTGTCCCTGATGCAGATCTTCTTCCTGTCAGCAGGACAGGAAGTGAGATAAATCTCTGTGACTAAGCCCTGGATGGAAGTGAATACCCAGCAGGGGCTCTAGTCCTTCTCTACTCTATCCAAATGGGGAAAAAATAGGTTTTGGTTGGGACAGAGGAAGTACCCGAAACTCCTTCCTTTCTATATAAGGACTTATTATTCATTATGAATGGAGTACTATTATATGACTAAGTATAAGTCTGTTTAAAGGGTAATTCCTCTTTCTCAGGTGAATTTGAGAAAATGGAATTACCCCCTCCAATCGACCCCCCCACCCCACATACTTACCTGGTGAACGCTCCTTCCCCTCACCCGGTGTACTATCCATACTCCGTGCATGGCAGCGCAGCCCTACGCTCTGTATTTTGCTCACAAATGGCTGAGCAGCACTTCTCATTGGTCAGCACGGTCAGGTGACCACACTGACCAACGAGTGCTCGCCATTTTCCAGTTTATTTCACATAAAACTCGGTAATTTCATCAAACGGCAAAATTTTGTAGAAGATAATTCAAGAAACTAAACAAGCCGACCTCTAACACAAAGCGACGGGCCGTATGATTGTTGGTTACTAGGGGCCAATTGGGCATTTGGGGTTGTTGTGTTTCTGTAGTTTGGCTGATTTCGGAGATTGATCGTTTTCATTGTTCATAACAAATGGGCCCCGAGAGTTTCATGGGACTAAAATGTGCCGTCCTGGATCTCCAGATCTTGCCAGTGTTTAAACAAACGTATTCCAGAATAAATCAGAAACAGTGTTGTGTTGGCGCTGGGGATACGCTGAGCCCCGGCATCTTTGGCTGCTTATGGTTTGAGTGTAGTGCCTAAGGGTTGGTTTCAGATCCGGAATTTCCTGTGTAGACAACCCACCAAGAATGACTTGTGTAATGGTCTCGTCGTGCTACTCAGACTATTTTTAACCCTGAATGCCGTTTAATCCAAATCTGACCCATTCCACGCATAACTCCAAAAATGGACCGGACAAAATGATTGGCACCTTCTGCAAATTGCAAGAAATAATTGCATATCAAGTTTGTGATGCTCCTGCAATTTGCAATTAAACTCCACGGTATCAATGAACAGGTGCTGACAATATAGAAATTCCACCGGCAACCTGCTAAAATGGTGAAAAACTGACTCAACCAACGCAAACAAAAGAAATAAACGTTTGTAATTGCACCAACTTTGCAATTTTGGCGCATTATCTGACAGAAATGCAGGGGTGCCAATATTTTTAGCCATGCCTGTATGTATGTATCTATACAGTATACATATATATATACTTGCTCCCCACTGTGGTTTTCAAAGCTACAGGGCGATAAAAAAACATTTATTTTATTACCAAGAAGCTGACTTGTAACAAAACCCACAATGGGGATTAATACAACATTTGTATTTGTCTTGTATAAATTTGTAACATTTTGGTGAGCTGACACGCTTGACATTTTTCACACCTTCAAATGTTGAAGAAGCCTTGGGCTTTGCGGTTTGATGGTATGAGAGGAAAATCTGCTGTTCACACACAGTCCCAGGCTGAGGGCAATGAGGTTTAACTATTAGCCCTCCATTAACAAGCGCTCCCCCTAATAGGAGGGGGGGGCTGTCATATGATCGGCCCATTATGGAATCCAAACTGTTAAGCTCTGGCGTGGTAACAGAGGACATTGCCATTCTCTGGCACGCAGCTAAGAACACTTGAAAAAAAAAATGTCTACTATGAAATTTCTTATTTTTCGTGGTTTCCGGGTACATTTCAAACACCAGCATCGGCCATCAGTGGAAAAAGCGCGCGGTTCACTTCAACAATCTGCCCAACTGATATTTCCTTCGTTGTGTTCATTTGTTACAGGGATTTGTGCTTCCCCCCCAAACAGATTCTGATATATGAGAAATAGATAATCCACGCTTCTGGAAAGGAGACTAAAGTGGAAATGTATAATAAATTAAGACCTAAAGCAGCTCTAAAAAGAGGATAGAAGAATCCTATCAACAGTCGAGAAAAATATATATCTTTTATAAAATATATATTTTTCTCAGATTCTGATATATACTGTATATAGGAAGTGAGGGAACTGTATAGCCAAACAGATTCTGATTATATATATATATATACACTGAGTGGCCAGATTATTATGACCACCCCATCAGTACTTCGTTGGGCCACCTTTTGCCTTCAATACTGCGGCGATTCTTCTTGGCATTGACTCCACGAGATGGGGAAAGGCGATGCGAGGAATCTGAAGCCATGCCTGATGAATAGCACTGTCCAGTTCTGTGAGATTTGATGGTTGTGGAACCAGCCGCCTGATTGGCTCTTTCAACTTCGTCCCAAAAATGCTGCAATTGGATTGAGATCTGGTGATTGTGGGGGCCACCTAAGCAAGGTAAAGTCTCCCTCGTGTTCTTGAAACCACTCCTGCACAGTACATGCAGCGTGGCATGGCGCATTGTCTTGTTGGAAGAAGCCATCTCCATTGGGATACGCCGTCAACATGATGGGATGAACTTGATCAACAACGATACTTTGGTATGTTGTGCTATTCAGACGTTGTTCCACGCGAATTAAAGGGTCCAAATCATGCCATGAAAACACGCTCCGAACCATAACACTGCCCCCACCAGCTTGAAGGGTTGTACTCATGCATATGGGGTGCATGCTTTTATGCCGCCAAATTTTCACTCTGTCATCTGCATGATGCAACTGGAAACGTGATTCATCGGACCACATGACCTCCAATGCTCGACTGTCCAATCCTTGTGTTCCTGTGCCAATTGGAGATGTTTTATCTTGTTAACTGCAGACAGCAAAGGTGTTGGAACCGGCCTTCGGCTTCCATATCCCATACGATGCAGTGTACGGCGAACAGTGCGTTCAGAGATCATTTGAGAGGATCCCTAATTAAGATCTGCAGTCATTTGATGTACTGTTGCCCTTCTGTTGTCTTGTACCAGTCTTGCCCCTCCCCCGTTCTGCCCTAACATTGACTAGTCGCTGACGGCCACAATTCACACGTTCAGACCCAGATTTTCGGCTGACAGTCCGGTCTTTAAACACTTTAACAACAGCTGCT